CATTAGTTTGGCTGCAGAAAAAGAACCTTCAGGGGTTTGGCAGTCAGTAGTAATACGGTGAAGTCTTATTTCATTGACAATGACAAATCACATGGGTATATCACTACCCCCAGGGTAGGCTGGTTTTTACTGTAGAAAATCACACATGATCCTGCACACTGAAATAAACAGCACTGGTTTGTCTTCCGTGTCCACAGGCAATATTCTTAGTCAGGACCATGAATGCTATCCTCAGGGTAACGCTCTAGCATGAGATCAATAAGTTATTGGCCATTTTTATTGTAATATCAATGTATCCTTCACATTAGATCCCTTCGCTGTTGCAATGAGATAAGGTTCCTGTATCACTTAATATCAAGTGCCCTGTATAAAGCTGCTGGTAAACCAATGCCATACAAAACATTCTTTTTCCTATCTCTTCTAAGAATATATTTTACTCAAATAAAATGATTCAAGAGGCTTGTACACAGCAGCGCTTAGTAAAAAAGCACAGGAAAGATGAGTTTTTGAATACAGGGATGGATTATTTCTCACCTCCCACACTCATATTGGAAAGTGATGTAATTTCATATGGGACTGCTAAAAAAGCAATAGGGCAATACTAATAATGAATTATAGAGTTATGACAGATAGTTTTGAAAGAAGAATGGACATTTTTATTCTCATAAGTTCACCTATAGTAAAAAAAGTATTATGGTTTTTACTTTCCCTCTGTGACCCAGACACTTCTTCCCTGTAGCCTTCAAAGCCTTAAACAGAAATGACATTGGACTTATATTTTTAAAGTGATGTTTTGGATCGATTCAAGCAGATGACAAAACTGACATCTTCTATTGTCAGGCAAACAGCACAGATTCACCACGGTCTACATTTACAAACGTTTGTTCTTCATTAGCTAAAAATCAAGCTAAATGTGGGAATATTTATTTCGGTTGCATGTGGCTGTGTTAATGTGGAGGTTATGCAGTGCAAAACATTCAACTCTTCACAGAGTTTGTGTAGCTACTAGCTACAACCCAGCCATGCGCGCGTGTTTGCTTATGATGCTTAGAAAACCCTATAGCTTAGTATACAGCTAGCTACTGGGTACCACAGGATCATCAAACATGTTCTGCACCTAGGACACGGGACATCTCCAAGAGAAAGGACAGTGCCAGTGTTCCATCAAGAAGCTTTCCAATTCCCCATTAGAATGCAACTGCCTCCCCTCTGCGGTCCTATGGCCTTGATTCTTATCTTTTTGAAAAGAAAGTCCCTATCACTCCGTTGGCTTTCCCCAGCAAACCACTCTGACCATTTCTTGTGTAATCTTTCAGGAATATTTTAAACATACAAAAGTTAATCTATATCTAAATCTCATAGGGCATTGTTCTTGTATTGCAACACTATTTGCATTGTACATATCTCATACCAGATTTGTGTACAGGTCTATTGTCCCTGTATGATGTGAAAGTGTTCTTCTTCAAATATGTACTACCAAAATAATTTTACACAGTGCGATAGATAGATATCAAAAGAAAAAAATAGAGCTTGTTGACCTGAATTGATTCAGCAAGAATCAGTCTTTAACACAATTAACTGGATTAGAGTGAGTTGCAATTATAACTTTTGATACCATTTATTCTATGTAAAATGGGACCAGTTTCTTCCCTACAGTAATAAATATATCTCTTTCTGTTAGGTCACTGCTCTTTGAGGTAATTTTGACTGCTACATCGAATACAGCAATCTGAGCAGAATTAAAATACTTTACTCTGGACATTCTAGATCCCTTAATATGTTAAAGTATCTAAATTGCTTCCACACCTCTAAGATGTATATGCTAATGTTAGGTCCAGGGACAATATGTTGAGAAAATATTTGTGGTTCTTTTGCAATCCTACAAGCTTAGAAATTATTGTTCTACTAGTGCTCTTTTATTCAAATGTTACCATATAAGGTAATAAAACCAAAGATGAATAAAACATTTAAAAATCATCTATGTGAAGTATCAAAAGAATAAGATTAATTAGCTACAATCTTCCTATATTTTTCAATTTCATTATGTAACACTCCTATCTTCTTGTCACCAAAAACACAATGGATAGTCTAAGTCTTCCAAACTCCATCCTTAACCCATGAGAAACTCATAGGAAGTTTGGCTGCTTTGGATGAAACTGGAGGCTGTGTTTTAGGAGGATCATATTAAGGTGTTACATGGGGACAGAGTGCGTTGATGTCTAGAAGGAGAAGGATTTCCATAATGCCAACTTGCTATAGCCAAGCAGATGTTATCAGTTATACTTCTTATTTCTCATTTGGCATTCACAACACTAGGTTAAATAGTCTATAAAGATGAATAAGACATGGAACCTGCCTTTATTGAGTTAGTAGTCCAGCAGGGAACTAAATATGACTGTCAATGGCTGCATGATAAAAAGACTCAAATGTATCATGGGGACATCAAATATAGTACAACAGTAGCATCAATATTTACACTGATGATTACATTATATCAAATAGGATTCCTTTAATCCTTACTAAGTCTTATGAAGAGATATGATTACTTTTATCTCCATTTCACAGGGGAAGAAGACAAACAACTTGCCCACATCTGATAAATGAGAGAATTTGGGTGTATATCTAGGCAGGCTGGTTCCGAAATCTGCACTCTTAACCGTTGCTCATACTGTTTCTCTTGTGGCTAATTGTGTAACTAACTGTGTCTGGTATGATGTGATGGAGTTCTTTAAATGAGAACTATTTGAAAATAAGAGAGAAAGAAAGGAAGGAGAGCACATAGGGAAGTAAGGGGGGGGGGAGAGAGAGAGAGAGAGAGAGAGAGAGAGAGAGAGAGAGAGAGAGAGAGAGAGGTCACCATGTCTGAACTCCAGGCAGAGATAACCCATGATTAACAAGACACAGAGGTGTAAAGTAGCATGAGATAGATCCTGAGAATCACAGGTCCAGTTCAGTTGCAGGAACCAAATTATGTAGCTTTCTTTGTGCTATTCTTGGAAGTTTGAGATTTGTTGTGTAGTTAGTAAAGTTTACCTAATACTTTAAACCAGACAGATTTATATTTTGTGATTACATTTTGCTTGAAAAAACATTATTCAAAAAGCAATGTGAAAGTGGTTTGGAGGAGAATTACATTAGAGGCAGGTAAAAGCTTAGTACAGGTAGAGGATGATGAATGCATGAACTCAAACAGTGGCATAAGGAAGAGCTGGGTTGAAGATATATTGCAAAGATATGCTGAATAAGTCTTAATGACCAAATTGGTCATGAAGAATGTTGGAGACGAGACAGGCCACAGAACTGGACTTTTCAATCTAACTGGTTTTAGAGTGGATTTTAAAAGAAAGGAACATATAATTTGATATTTCCTTTTCATTTGTATTAGTTTGTGTTGTATTATGAAGAGCTGATGAGGATACTGACCTGTTTGGGACATGCAAAGATGTCCAGTAGCAATACCTAATAAGCAGTTAGAAGCACAGTTTATCGTGCTCTGCATCTAGTTAGATATGAACTTGAAGGACAGACTTGGGAGTCTTCAATTCCTAAGAGTAAGATGAGTAAATGAAATCAACCAGAGAGAAGACAGTGAAAAGGGAGTAGACTCAGGAAGACTAGCAAAAGTGAGTAGAGGAGGTGGAATAATAAGGATTTGAATAAGCAGGGAGAGCAAGGAACGAGGAAGATTAGCAAAGAATGGAGTTGTGGGAGCCAAGAGATAAGAAATTTTCAAGAAGGTATAAGAGGTAGAAGAAAAGCCAAAAAAAAAAAAAAGTTCAATGAGGCAAGATTTGAAATAGAGTAAGGACTAGAAAAGTTACAGTTACAAAAGCAAATCTGGAGATCTTTGGATACATCCGGAAGGGAAATTCCAATAAAGTTTGGGACCAGAATTCATACTTTAATCGAATTAATTAGATAAGAAGACAGCATGTACAGAAAACTGAAGCAGTTGACCTGTGAGGGGAAGGCTAAAATAGTGTGGTCAACAGAAGTACTTGTTTTTTTTTTGTTTTGTTTTGTTTTTTTTTTAGCTGAGCCATCCCGCCACCTGTTGGCAGCTCACGGCTGCTCAGCTCGGGCTGACTCGAACCACTGTTGCTCAGAGCTCAAACTCTTGAGCGAGCTCTTAACCAACTGAGCCACTCAGCCAGCCCTCAACAGAAGTGATCTCATTAGCAGGAAAGGGCTTTTTTGCTTCTACCCTTGGTATAGATGGGAAAGTCTTGAGTATATCTACAAGCTGAAAGAAATATCCAATGTAAAGAAAGGTATGGAAGAAAGGGGTTGTTTGATGAAATAACGTTCTGCATCAAATGAGAGAACATAAAATAAAAAAAAATAGGTATCCATAGTATCATACCTAAAATTGATTTCATGAGAAAGTTCCCTCATTGCTGTCAATATCTAAGTGGGCTACAGAAGAGAGTAAACCATTTTTTAACTGCTCAAATAGCTCAAAGAAAACAATATTACACTGTTAATATAAGATACCGATAAAGACATATCACATAGCAGGTGATTTCAGGTGAACACATGTACCACAATCAACGTTGATATGGTATAGCTGCAGTAACCTGAAATGTGGAGACCAGCACAAGAAGGGAGACCTGTTTACTGTGTACCAGGCAGTCCCCCCTGCCTCAATCATGGCACTGCCCAAAGGTCACCTTGGGCTGGTCAGAGTTGGAGCTGAAACTCTAGTTTTTTTCCCTTTAGGTTTATAATAAACCAGAATATTTCCAGAGAGGATGTGCTGAGGTTAACGTGGGCAGAGGTCTTGTGAGAATGGGTGACACGGGAGATGCTCTGAAGTCAGAGCCACTCATGGGAAGAAAAACAAGTATAATGGTGAGAAATGTTTGGCTTAAAGCTTTTGGGTTTAAATGTTTGGGTTAAACGAAAAGAAAGACAGATTGGAACATTTTTCTTCAGTACTGATTTCAGAGCTCAAAGATACCTTAGCAATTGAAATAGAAAAAAAAATATGGTCTACTTACCCATTCTGTATGGCAGCTGTGGGGTCATAGGTCAGAGCCATGCCAGCCTGCATATAAGAAGGAAAGGGAGAAAACAGATCTTAACGTTTTTAATGTGGTGCCCAAAACATTCAGCACACACAAAGATGTTTATCTTTACTTTCCGTGATTTAAGTTTATGTTCTCCTATATATTTCTCCACCCTTACTGCCAAGACTAGCATTTTTACTACCCACACACCAGGATGCACCAGTGAGTTACGGAGTTTTTATTATATATCCAGACAAACCAAGGAACAATGGAGTTTGGAGGCCTTCCATTTCTACTTCATCAACCATCTGCTGTCTAATCTGGTATCCTTATCATTTCTCACTATTGTCAAGGCGACCTAGTGTGCATCTCATGGCATAAAAAGCAAAGTAAGGATGAACCTTGTGGTCAAGATAAAAGTAAAAATTACTTAAAATGCGTTTGATCTTGTAGAAGAAAATGTTAAGAAATATTTATTTTGAAATAGATTGTATGCCTCAGGGGTATGCAGGTAATAAGTCACAGTGCTTGTCCAATATATCGCGAGTATCCGTCTCACTAAGAGTGGCCCAAAGGGAAGGTCATTTACACATGATGGAAATTCTAGGTCTTGTGGCTAACAAGGAGGTGGTTTTATGCTGTTTTAAGAATAAAACTACTTCTGAAAAACTACATTTCTGTAACTGGCAGTAGTTTGAGAAAAGAATATAAACTTCATGATTGCTGATGCACAGCCTACCACCTCCCTTTGTACATGTCATCACATTTGATCCTCACAACATCCCTGTGAAGTAGGCAGGAGCCACATATTCCCCATTTTATAGATGAAGACGTTGAAGCTTGGGGAGATCAAGTGACTTGTTCAAGGTCATACATTTGAAGGCAGAACCAGATTCCAACCCAAGTTTTCAGATGCGGGCTCCCTTCACAGCTCTGCTGTAACATTGACCTAGGCATTGAATCAGATCTGAGGATCATCACTAAGGAGGTGGGGGAACTTTCTCTGTCACCGTATGGACAGACCATCCTTTGTCCTGTGTCCCAGGATGTCAGCTTGGTTCTCACTTGTGAGCAGAAAGAAAACACAGAATGAAATTTAAAACTGACTAGGTTATCATTAGGATGGATCTTTTTTTTTTCCTTTTTTGAAATTTGAAAGTGAATTAGACCCATCTCAATTTCCTGGCTTTGCTGGTGTGGTATAATTCTGTAAGATGTAACCACTGGAAAAAAAAGGGGTGAGGGGTATACAAGGCCTCCCTTTCCATGTCTTTTGAAATTTTCTGTGACTCAGTAAGTATTTCAAAATTAAAAGTAAGACCAAAATGTGAATTTGCTTTGAGAATGTGTGTAGAGAATAAGAAAACCATTAAAACTTTAAAGAAAAGGAAAAAGAGCTTTTGTGTTTGATATTTTTCTAGTATGGTTGAAGGTGGTTTCCTGTTAGGCTTGTTGAATTCCTCAGGTGTAACATATAAAAATTCTCAGGCTTCCTAGCATAAGGCCTGAAGTCCAGTATGGTCTACTACTTTCAAGTTTAGATTACATGCATTATTTTCCCTGTATAATCATTTTAAAATTAATATTAATATTGGTATGAGGAACAAAAGTGGAGAGCCAAATATGAATGGGATTAGCATACAGGGAGCACACATAAATTGAATCAGAGTTTACAAACAAAGCGGAGTGACTGTCAGAATTCAACTGAGGTGCACACATATATAATGGTAACTGCATGTTACTCATCATAAAGAAACACACAACTGATAATATGACAAGCTGGGGACATGGGAGAGGCAAAGACAACAGTGCAAAACACATAGAGATCCAAAGTCTAAATTCTTTCCAGTGATGGAGTCTCTGCATGTGACCAGGGAGATGGCCCTAGACTGAGGAGTCCCCAGAATGGAGATGTCGAGGGCGAGCTGAAACTCCACGGTCCTGGGTGCTGGAGAGGATAGTTGTAAAAGCAGTCCATTTGGGATGAGATTTCCTTCATAGAAACACTAACCCTCTCTCCCCTAACTGATCTAAGATGGGATTTATGACAAAAACGGGCTTTATACCCAATATTGTCAGTTCATGAGAGATTTAGGATGATAATCATTTCTTCAGCCTCCTAACCACCCCAAATTGTTAAAGTTTTGGGGCACTTAGAGGAAGCCTTTCTTAGTCAACCCCACAATTACTTCTTTTCCTTGTATTTATTTCCCAATTGTGCTCAAAGACCAATACTATCTAGCCTTTCTTGAATTAAATATTTTCTTGAACACGTTTATTTGTTTTGGCAACTTTGGGTAAGATTGTTTTTTCTCTAACATTTTACTTGAATTCCTCATGGATTATAGTTAATGAATGACCTCTAGCTAAGAATATAGTCATCTCTATCTCTTTGTTGAATACATATTTGATAATCAGAATGCCTAAGTTGGATTCTTCCTCCATCTTAAAGTTCCATCCATCTTTCAGAAGATGAAAAAGAACTAAAACATGTCCATATGGTTAGTGGAAAGGATGTATGTTTTGGACTTGGGTTCAAGGCTTAGCTCTATTACTTTCTAGCATTGTGGCTGTGGGGAAATTGTTTAACCTATCGGAGCATCAGTTTCCTTAACCGTTAAGTGGTATGGTAATACCTACCTCAATCGGGTTGTTGTGAAATTTAAATGAGATGACATTTGTAAAAGGCCCAGCGCAGTGCCTGGAGACAAGATGTGTTCATAAATGTTATAATACAAAGCAAAATGTTGTAAGTGCCATATGAGCACATGTGAGCGGTATGGATGCAGTGGAGGAGAGCGGCTGGGAGTGGTAAGGGAGGGCAGTTGGAGGAGGTACAGCTGAGTGGAGCCTGGAAAGATGATTAGAATTTCCATGGATGGAGATGAGAGGTGAAGGCCTGCTCAGGCAAAAGGAATAGCATGGAAAAAGATGTGTAAATAAAAAGGGTGAGGTGGCTGATCCCCCTGCAGGAGAACACTGGAGGGAGCAATGGGAAGTAAGACTCCAAAAAAAAGGAAGGAGCACCTTGACTGCCTGGCTCCTCTTTGGGAGCCACTGGCCATTTTTTGAGCAGGGAAATTATACAATCAAACATGGATGGGACAATAAGAAATGGTATGAGTCCCCTGGAAAACAGAGGGTACATCCAGAGCAATGAGCGACTGGATAGGCATTTGGAGAGAGGGACGTGTTGAGAATCTAAGGTGAGATTGTCACTTCAAAAGGGTGGGGGATGAACACAAGCTTCACCTACTTCATGAATTTGCCTAGGGATTGTCCTGCCTCTGAGTGTCTTTGGCAAGAGGAGAAAATGTGAGTGTCAGGGAATATTGTAGGTGACAAAACAAGGCATGGGTTCAACAGCAGGGTGTTTGAACTTCACCTGTTGGCTGAATACCTTAACACAATAGGTAACATTTGGATGCACCTGGTTTTCATTTCATGTGTAACAGATGGTTGAGCTATAATTCTAGTATGATCTTAATGGAGATTTTGCGTTCAATTTCCTTTTGTCTCTCTCCACAAACGTAAAAAAGAAAACCAGTTTTGCTGTCCTGTCTAGCTACCTTTATGTTAAGCTAGCACCACAAAATCATCATTATGCAATTACCAGATTTTAAGGCATGTTTACAAATTTCAGAGTCATACAAAAAGTAACATAACTTGGGACAAAATGAAAATGTCACACTGCATATGCAGAAAAGTGATGTTTAATCCTGTCACTCTTTTGAAAAGGGCTTATTAGATCCACAAATATCGTCCATTTTTCAAGTCCATGTTATTTGTGTGCTGGAGGCCTTTATAATTTATTTAAAACAAAAGGGGGCATTTTTGTCATTTTCCAGCCGCAGCTGAATTTTGGATTGGTATTTCAGCTATGATAAAATATTTCTAGTCCTTCCAGACAGAATCTATACTAGAAGACCTAAATACTTTACAAGAAATCTTGAAATATGGTTTATTGGAATAATTAGGGTATCATAATTATTTTTGATAATGCAGGGGATTTATTGAGATGTATCAGGTTGAACTAAGAGCTATATATTTGATATTCATACTTTTAAATGATTAGCAGGTTAAACAAAGAGGTGACCACTGTGGAAATGCTGCTTACATAGTAGGGAGGAGGCACTGCCACTTCAGAAAGATCTGAGCTGTAATGCTTGGTCTTACCTGAGGAGCAGGGGTTCACTGACTACAATAAGGCCAATGAAAAGGTTGGCTGGTAGACTTATTTTTATCACTTTCAACCTATTTTTATATTGTAATTTGAATGCGGGTCACAAGCTTGATGCAGTAATCTTTCTACAGACAGACACCCACTAAAATTCCTGGAAAACTGAAACACTGATGTTTTAGCCTAACAGTTCTCCTTTTTCTAAATTCTGCCCTGACTCATGAATCATCACATGTCAATGAACTGGATGAATTACGAACAAATTATTACAAGGATGTTTATTCTTCTACAATCAACTTGAAAGCAACTCTTTAGTAAATATGTAGTAAATAGTGTATATTTTAGTAAATATTGTGCACTGAATTAGCACAAGATAAGTTCAGGAAGCCAAAGAAGAAAAGGCTAATGTAGTTTTCTTGATGCCATCTTTAAAAAGTGTATTTCATGCAACCTATTTTAACAATATTGACAACTGTTAGTTGGTTATTGTAAATCAATAAATAAAATAATGTAAAAGATGATGTATGTAAAAGGGGCTTGAATATTATAATGCATTATATATGTTTAGGTACTGCTACTGTAGTGAAACCTCTCTTAACTATGTTTATATTTATTTACCAGTATTTCTCTTTAAAAATCATCTTCTGTACTGAAGAAATCACGATACAAAATTCTGCGTACAATATGTAGCAAGAAATAAAATTTAAAAAATTAAAATCTCTGACTAGAAACAAAAGAGAATTAATTTCAACACGTTAAGTGCCACATGTTGGGGCATATAACTATAAATCACATTTTTACCTTTCATATTTTTCTCTGACCTATCAGGAGAAATACTTTTCTAATAGGGAGAAATCC